CACCGAACTATCACAAGGTGAATCGCAACTTATCCAAGCCCCCAAATCAGTGAAAACACAAGCTTTGAAGCAATCTATGAAGAGGAAACATCACCAAACTATCACAAGGTGAATCGCAACTTACCCAGGATCCCAAATCAGTGAAAACTCAAGATTTGAAGCAATCCATGAAGGGGAAACATCACTGAACTATCACAAGGTGAATCGCAACTTACCCAGGCACCCTAATTAGTGAAAACTCAAGATTTGAAACAATCTATGAAGAGGAAACATCACCGAAGTATCACAAGGTGAATCGCAACTTACCCAGGTACCCAAATCAGTGAAAACTCTAGATTTGAAGCAATCTATGAAGGGGAAACATCACCGAACTACCACAAGGTGAATCGCAACTTAYCCAAGCCCCCAAATTAGTGAAAACACAAGCTTTGAAGCAATCTATGAAGAGGAAACATCACTGAACTATCACAAGGTGAATCGCAACTTACCCAGGCACCCAAATCAGTGAAAACTCAAGATTTGAAGCAATCTGTGAAGGGGAAACATCACCGAACTATCAGAAGGTGAATCGCAACTTACCCAGGCACCCAAATCAGTGAGAACTCAAGATTTGAAGCAATCTATGAAGGGGAAACATCACCGAGTTATCACAAGGTGAATCGCAACTTACCCAAGCACCCAAATCAGTGAAAATCGCAGTTTTGACAAGAGGAGGAGGGGGAGAAGGGGGAAAAAAAGAAAAGGAAGAAGGAGAAGAAGAAGAAAAAGAAGAAGAAGAAGAAGAAGAGAAAGAAGGAAAAGAAGCAGAAGCAGAAGAAGAAGAAGAAGAAGAAGAAGGAGGTTTCCTTCTTTTTCACTCGCCTCTTGATGGTCTCTAGGCAGTGGAGTCCCAATGCTTGGTTCTAGCCTCCTGGGTATGGTTTTTCCTCTCTCCCAAGCTCTCTCCTCCGTCCCTCACACCTCTCCTTTAGCTATGGCAGGTTCCTACTTCTAAGGTTGTGGAGTCCTTCCCTCTAGAAGGGCTATGGGGACCCCTTTCAGCCTCTACTCCTACTTCACAGCCTGAGGGCTATGGCGGACCACTCTCCTTGCTCCCTCCTAGCCTCTAGGTCACCTTTCTCAGCCTTACCACCATAGCCAGGCTACAGACTAGCTCCGACCCTTACTCCCTTGCTTCTCTCTCAGTCGGACTCTTTTCTGGACTCATTTGGGCAGCATGGGCACCTCCTATGCTCAAATGAGAATTGCGGCCTACACCTCCAGCTTATATAGGCTGGAACAGGTGCACCGCCCAACCTCTAGGCCAAGTGCCTCTAGGTGGAGCGAGGTACCCCAAAGGCCAAATTTTCGATTTTGGCCTCCCCGGCGGTATCTGGGCCTTATTTTGGCCAGGTACATGCAGTCCGAGAGGCTGGTACCCTCTCGGACTACCCCTTGGCCTACCCCGGCCTCTTTTTACCTCAAAAAGTGCTGCCTTTTGGGGTACTCTTTCCCAAAATGCAGCCTTTACTGAAAATTGAGGGCCTCAAGGCCCATTTTTCGCCTTTTTCTCGGTCTAGGCCTCCTTTGGGTAGGCCGTTGCATTTTTCCAAGTGGCGGCACAGATCTCAACCTTGGATTTGGCTGAGATCTATGGCCCTCATCATTTCAAGTTCTCCAAGCCCCGCCTTGCTCCAAATTTGAGTCTTTTGCTCCAATTTTCAATTTTTTTGATGTACCTGGCCCAAACCTTGGGCCAAATTCGCAGTTTTGTCTTGTTCCTCTCTTCGTTTTTCCTCCATTTTGCTGCCAACTCATCCTGGAGCTAGCCGTTTTTTGTCAGCCCACAAAAAACGGCTAGATCTCCTCCTCCGCAAGATCAGATTTCAGATTCGATGGCCCAAAAATGAGCCGGCCAACTCACATCAGCATTTTTCTTTATTTTGTTGCTTAAATTCAGATATTGCAGAGATGATGCCCCAAGGACCTTGTCACTGCAATCCGGATTGCCCTCCTAGGATCTAGGAGGGATGAGGTCATCATTGAGACCTGCCAGTCCCTACCGCTGCAGTCCCAACCTGGCGGCACCTTTTCCTCCACTCCTTCCTCCTCCTTTGTCTCATTCTCCGCCCTTTTTCTTCTTTGTTTTCTGATTTACTGTTGGGACAGGTGTCCAACAGCTATTTCTCCTTTATCTAGTTGTTGGACCTTTCCCAAGGTCTGATTTGCAGCCGGCATATGGTCGTTGCACCTCGGAGTGCAGTAGTGGCACCCCCAAGGCCACAGGGGGCTCCTTTTTGTTGCCGCTGCTTCGAGTTTTGAGACCCCCTTGCTCCGATTTTCTCCGGCCAGCCTTCTTTCCACGCGGAGCCCTTGGAACTTCGTTTTTCTTGGCCTGGCTGATCCGGGATACTCGGATTGCTGGTCGGCCCCTCTTACCGCTGCTATTCCCTCTTTTGTTCCCCTCGGCACCTCCCGCCGACGCTTGTCGCGGCGGTACTTAGTGCTTTCATCCGGACTCCCTGCCCCGGACGGTCCCGTCCACCCGGTGTCAAGTTATTTTATTTTTGTTGTCGTTGCGTCTGATCCAGGATCCCCCTGGGTCGCTCCAGGTGCCCTCCGTCTTTCCCGTCTCACGCTCGTCTCTTCTCGTTCCGTTATCAATTTTCGTTAGCACCCGACTTCTCCTCTTTTTCTTGTTATCCCTAGTCTCTTCCCTTTTTTCCGGTGTCGTCCCGGGTGACGTCCCGCCCTCGTGTACTCCCCTTGGGTCGGCCGCCCTTTATTCCGCCGACGGCTCCGGTCTTCAGTCCCCGTCAGCGGCTCCCGACACTTTATCTCGTCGATACTCGTCCTGCTATTGGTTCTGCGGGTGCCGCCATTTTATCTAAGCCCACGCGGTCCCTGGCACTTCGGCCCGCCTGCATTGCATTTTTCCCTTGGTCTCACGCGGTTTCCGGTACTTTGCCCTGCCGCCACCACACCGTCCTCTGGTCCCGCGTGGTCCCCGACCCTTTGTCCTGTAGGTACAGCCCCGTCTTCCGATCCCATGTGGTCGCCGACACTCCTGCCCCTTGGTGCTCCTGACGTCCTTCCGCCTTGCGGCGGTCTCCGACTCCCCCCGTTCCCTTTGTGTCCCACACGGCGTTCCGCTCCGGGCGCCGGTTCCCCCTAACCTGCGATCTCCTCGGCCCACCTGCCGCCGCATCGCGCCAGCGCCTTGCGCCCTGTCCCTTCCCACTTTCTTCCTTCCCTTGCTGCGCACCTCTCATGCTGGTACCAACTTCCCGACGGCCATCCTCCGTCCTTGGGGAAGGAGTCGCCCTTGCCATTCTCTCACATTCCCTTGCCGCTTCCCGCTTAGACAATTCCTTTTTAGCTTTGGCGGTCTTGACGACTCTGGGCAGCCTCTAGCTTCCTACTGCCTGTGCCCACGCTTCCGCTCTTTCCAGCATTCCTGCCTCCGGTTTTCTCTGTCGTGCACAAATTGGTCATATATAGTCTCTCGAGTGACGGGAAACCATTCGGGACTCACCAGGCCCGACATATTCCCCCCACTCATTCGCGATGTCCTCATCGGGCACCAATCCATGGTCAATAGGGATTTTGGAGTGACAGACAGACAGGGAGAAGAAGTGGGGTGGGATGGGTAGTTAGCTTGTTAGGGTTCTTTTTGTCTTTCCCACTTTTTTCTTAGGTCCTTCTGTGACTTTCCGCCCTTGGGGCGGGGGAGGGTATGGAGGGGTCAAGGTTTTGTTTCGGGTTTCCTTTGGATTGCGGAACGTCCCCAAGCTCAACAATGTCTTTGTAATGAGCGCGTAACACTTTTTGTGCATCAACGTCGGTCTCACAGCTGTATCTCTTTCTCACTGGAACTCCCAAATACCCAAGAGCTTCCCAACAACCCCCGGTGTCGTCCCACAAAAGAGAGGACGACGAGCCCATCACCCTCCCAGGGACCGTGGTAAGAGGAAGATTTTGGCGGCGAATGTCACAAGGATCATCCGCCATGGCTTCCTTCAGGTGCGAGCTAGCAACACGTCAAGGGTTTTAAGTAGCTCGATGTCTCTTTCTTTCTTTCTTTCTTCATCAAGTTGTTTAGCATTACCCTTTGGGGAGGTCCATCAACAGACATGTCTTGCAACTAGTTTTTCATTGTACGTTATTTCTCGCTCTCGACAATGTCTTGAAGGCTGCATTCGTAATCACAAATCTATCTTCCCATTTCTTTGAGAAAACATTCTTGAGCAGACATCCTTTTGGTTTCGTCTCATTCATTACTCTTAGGACATCCACTCATTTTCAATACAATTTTTCCTTTCCCCGAAGCTCAGACATAGTCAAATCCACATGCATTCTTCCCGGGTCGTTCCTCCTGGCCTTTCTTAGGTCCTGCCAATCCTGCATGCATATCATCCTCTTCCCTTTCTTGCCCTTTACTCAATCGACTCTTCATGTGCAATGCTTGGTTCACCCCTTAGCCACTTCTCATTTTTTCAAGCTTATACGAGCCGATTACACAGCCAACTCTTAGTCTTCCTGTTCCAGTTCATACCTTGTTGCTTGCTCAAATCCTTTCTGCGTTGGCATCTTGCCAGGCCCCCTTTTTTCAGGCCTATACAAAGTCAATTACAATCTTTTTCTGTCCCGGCCATCTTGACAGGCCCCTCTTTCCCAAGCCCATGCAAAATCAATTACCAGTCTTATTTTCATGCGTATTCATTGGTAGATGGCACACCTTCCCCCCACTCAAAACGCGATGTCCCCATCGCACGAGTGGTTCTCACTCGGAGGTACGCAGACCTTTGGCCCGCCGACTGCAAGTCAAGGACACAAGCCCATCCACTTCACAAAAGGAAAAGTGATCAGTTCTTCCCCAGCGGACGACGCCTCATCCTTCTACCCGGTCCGACCTTTCTTCTCTTACGTGGCGAGCACCAATACCAAGGTTCCTCCTCACGTCTGCCAGGTAGGTCCAATCCAAGCTTGCTAGGGCCTCGCCTAGCCGTAAGAGTGTTTCTCGCGAATCGTCCCTCCCGAGTGGTAATTTTCTTGATTCCGGCCTCTTCCTTTCAAGAGAGTTGGGGCTCTCGATCAGTCCGCGAGTGCAGTTACGAAGACCTCGCAATTAGTCCCGAAACGGTTGTAATATTCCGGCAGGGCGGTGTCAATGCCCCGTGGTGGTGGCGGACTCCACCCGGTACCTCGCCCGGCCTCTCCCCTTGGACAGTGCCGCCCAACTTAGTGCGGGCAGCCGTGGTCCGACCCAAACTGCCATGCCATCCCTCTATGACGTGGCGTATGGTTGGAGAGTAGCAAAATAGACTAGATGAGAATGGCTTTCCTGCCCATTTGGCTCTCTCGTCCTTTGACGTTTAGGCGTTCAACAGGAGGCGCAGTTGGAACTCCCCGACTAGAGCTCATTGTCGGAGGTGGTTCCGGACGTCCCACACTGATCCAAGTGGTAGGTGCCTTAGTCCTTTAACCCTCACCCTCTCGAAGAGGAACAGGTCGCGCTGAGACTTTTTCCCTCAAAGGGATAGAGGTCTTTGGGGTTGCGGTGCGTGCACCGGTATCCCCCTCTTGTTGAGGCCAAAGACTAGAAGAAAAGANCCGGTATCCCCCTCTTGTTGAGGCCAAAGACTAGAAGAAAAGAGAAATTCCATTTCAAGGCTCTTTCCAAGTCCATTTCCTGTTGCCTAGGGTCCCCTCTTTATGCAATGCAATTTTCAATACTCAATCCAATTTCAATGCTCATTCTCATTCCCATGCTCAATCTCAGTCCAGTGCTCATTCTCAGTCTAATGCTCAATGCAATATCTCTTCCCAGGCTGAGTCCAATATCTCTTTCAATGTCGTTTACAAGGCTCATCTCTTCCAATGTCTTTTCCAAAGCTCCGCATCTTCCAATATCTTTTCAGAGGCTCAGCTCTTCCAATGTCATGCATCTCAAGTAGCCATGCAAGGGGACCCCAGTGCCAATTCCAAAGAATGACCCTTGTCAGGGGCCATTCCGTACAACCTGGTTAGGGTCGTTCTTTCCATTTCCAAGTCGACCAGCCGAGTTAGGGCCATTCTTATCTATTGCAATCGGACAGCCTGGTTAGGACCATCCTTATCCATTTCAATTGGACAGCCTGGTTTTCAATGTTAGCGCCTGAGGGGGTGGGCCTCGAGGACACGGATCCTATCTCGTCCCTGATGTTAGAAGGTGGGCATCCTCTTGGGTTTTTACGCATGCTTCTTCCTTTTCCTCATGCCTTTTGTCATTCTTACATCCATCCATACATCCGACTTAGCGTCTGGTACTCAAGTTGAGGCTCGCGGCCCCAAGCAGCACTATCCCGCCCGACCGTTCAACCATTACAAGGGCTGCTGAACCAATTTGATGTTTCCCTGCCACTTCCCTGTCTTCTTATATCCTTCCAATGCTGTGGACTTGTCCGAGATAGGTTGGATTAGGCTCCTAGGGAAGAGGATATCTCTTTACCCATAGGTCCCCTAACCTCTCACAAGGACTTTATGCAGCGACTCACTCAATCATGGATACGTGGTTAAAAAAAAGGAGAGCTTTCGCCATCCACTGTTTTTCTCAATCCCAATGATTCTCGTGCTCTTGACCATTCTTAAAGTCAATCAACCCTGATCCCCTTTTCTTACCGCCAAAAAAAAGTTCACTTTTCCCCAAAGAAGCGAATACTCATACAAAGTAACACAAGCCTCCCACCCCCTTACTAGTTTCCTCAATCCAAAGAAGTAGTTTCATCGCGGTCCTGAGAAACACAAGGAGACAGAGTTCGAATGCAAAGGTCACATTACAGACTCGTCTCATCTAAGCCCCTCTGTTTTCTCCTTACTCTCCCTTAGCCACCCCAAGCATCCACAGTTCTCTTCTAAGTGCGAAAAAAAATTCTCGTGCCCAATCCCGAAGAAGCAATGACTTATACGAAGTAGCATTCATTTCCCAGCCTTTAGCCGCTTCGGGCTTAGCAGCTGTCTCATCATAGTTCATTCAGAAAGAAGTTCAAAGGCGATATCCAAAATGGCGGTTGCGACTGCCCAGACACCAACCCCTCCCAATTTCTAGCTATTTCCCATTGCGCCTGCTATTCCTCTATTGTCCAGGTGGCCTGCGTCGAGCCTCCCTCCTTGCACGGTCCTCCATTTCCTGCTGCATTTACCTCTTTATTTCTTGCAATTGAAGGAGTGTCTGCTTTGTGAAAAAAGTTGTTGGGGATAGATCCTCTCCCCTGCCCAGTTTTGCCCTTGCCTTCGTTATCCACTAAAATCGCAAGATAGTGCCCCATTGGTCAAACCAGTCCCTGAAAGTTAGCCCGAACTCTTCTATCCATTTGTACTTTACCTCACCCGGTTCGTCCTCTCTTCCCCGTTCTTCCCTTGTGGGCGTTGTTACCTCATCTTCCTCCTCGTCGCTGGTGAGGTCAATAAACTCAACGGGCTCATTCTCTCCCGGCCGTTGTCCTTCCTCTGGGGTCCCCTCCTCCATCCTTCGCCTTTTTTCTGGGTTCCCCTCTTCCTTACTACTAGGATCACTGTCTGAAGGCAGCTCTATTGGCTCCCCTTCCTTCAGTGGTGACGGTCTTCTGGTTCCTTGCTTTCTGCCCCCCCTGTTCACAACTAGGTTGTGATCGAACCCCACATACAACTTCCTTTTTCTGGAGCTTGACTCTCCAGCTTGCCTTAATGATTGTCCCTCTTCCGGCCTCTTAATTGCATTGCTGTCATTTTCATTCCCAAACTCCATTTTTTTGTTTTCTTGTCGTCTTTCTTCTTCTTGCCTGACCCTGTTCATACATAACAGTCACGGTACCCCTCATACACACGCATTCCCTTCCACTCCCATTTGCAGCTTTGGAGGCTTCCCTAGAACTCTTGCTTGCCCCATATAGTTGGTAGTCCCATTATCCCTTAGGACCCTCGACACATTGTCCCAACACATAAGTGCCCCATGTAGGTAGTCCACAACATCACCCCACAAAAACTATGGTACATTGTCCCAGCACATAAATACCTCGTGTAGACAGTCCCCAGCGTTACCCCACAAAAACTATAATACACTGTGCCGTGCTCCCAAGCCCAGTCACAGTCAGCCCAGGCAGTCTCCCCACGTTCCACAAAAAGCAAGACACACAAAAGAACAATCCCTGTGGTCATGATCACTTCCCCAGGGAGGCGGTCCAGAACTTATAGCCAGTTGCCTGCCTTTCAGGCTGTCAGTTCCCCAGTTTCTCTGTCCTGGGCTTCTTGTAACCATTGTTCCATCGGATCCCTGCTAAAAAATCTGGCCAGTCTCTGTCCCAGACATGGTCCTCTTATGCTAGTACCATCAAGATCCTCAAGTTCGAACGTATTCAGTCCCACCCGCTTAGCGATCCTGT